ATTGTTATTATTAATAATAATAATGCTAATAATGACTCCAAAGGGCACACGTGTGCCATGTCTTAATGTTTTGTGTGTGGTTCATTAATTTAATTCACTGCAGTCTGAAATTTCACACTTTAATAATCAGCTAATTAAGCTTTATGAGTCAAATTCTTTGTTTTCTGTCCCTTTTTTGTCTTTAATAACTGAGTTTAACTGTGTTTTCTCATCTCTGATGTTTACACTATTTACATCTGAAATTAGATGGAAAGCCAAACAGGATGGATCATTAATTACTACATTCATTTGTTTCCCTTACTAATAAACCAATTACACTGAGCAAACGCAGTTCCAACACTGCATACTGTCATGTACTGTCTTGCAGTCATGTTCTGTGAGATTGTTTATTATGTTTATAGCAGAGAAAGGAGAACGCATGAAGCTCACTCTTTATGTTGTCCATGGGTGGCTGTAGCTCAGGTGGTAGAGCAGGTCATCTACTGATCGGAAGGTTGGTGGTTCGATCCCTGGCTTCCCCAGTCTGCATGCCAAATATCCTTGGGCAAGATACTAACCCCAAATTGCTCTCCGATGCATCCATCGGAGTATGAATGTGTGTGTGAATGTTACTTAGAAAGCACTTAGAAAAATGTGCTTGTGCGAATGGGTTAATGTACAAGTTGTGTACAGCGCTTTGAGTGCTCAGAAAGAGTAGAAAAGCGCTATATAAGAACCAGTCCATTTACCATTTACCATGTGTTGTGTGTTTTCTTTGGCACCCATCAGCCCCTGTGGCTTTACTCCATAAAGCCATTGTCGATATTTCACCTTTTCTCCCTCCGGCAGCCGCAGTCCGGCACCCGTGAAATATTGTGAAATTAATATAATACAGTACCTTTGAGGGCTGGAGGACATTTATGCAAATAACCTACAGGGAGAACCTAACTAAGCTTAGGAGCAAGGCTGTGGCAGTTCTCTATATTACTGAGCAGAAACAAGTTTGTGAAAAGACTAGAATCATTTTTTAAAAACGCTGGCACTGGTATTAAATATTTATGTATTTTCCTCCTAACTTCTTCCCAGACATTTATTTGTTGCTTTTCTGTCGACTGCAGTATAACTGAGCATTTTATTATACTGCATACTGTTCTTATACATTTATACAAGTGGACAAACATCACTTTGAACGTTACTGTAGTATTTCTCTTTAATGCTACTTTATGCTTCTATTCTGCCAAATGTTTAAAATACTGTTGTTTTTACTGCAATTGACACCTTCAGATTGCAATACCATATGAAGATGACAGCTCATTTTCACCACTCAATTACATTGATGAGAATATAGATAGCCCACATGTAACAACACTTCCCCTTCCCACTAAAAATTTTAAATTCATTAGCTCAGTTGTATTTCAATGGATCAGCGGATCTCATTGCAAGCCCCTACTTGAATAAATTGGACCCTATTTAAGCAGTTTAACCAGTAATTTGCAAACTGCTTTGCAACCCACCTCCACCTCAGCTGCCCTTCATTCTGTGTCTGATGTAATTATTCATCCATCCATCCATATCTATCCACCCATTCATCCATATCATCCATATCCATCCATCCATCCATATCCATCCACCCATCCATCCATATCCATCCATCCATCCATTCATATCCATCCACCCATCCATCCATATCCATCCATCCATCCATTCATATCCATCCACCCATTCATCCATATCCATCCATATCCATCCATCCATCCATCCATCCATCCATCCATCCATCATCTTCTTTCATTTATCTGGGTCCGGGTCGTGGGGGGCAGCAGTCTAACCAGTGAAGCCTGGACCTCCTTCCTTCTGGCCACCTCCCCCAGCATGTCCTGGATCTACCCAAGGCCTCTTCCCAGTGCGACATGCCTGGAACACCTCACCCAGGAGGTGCCCATGAGGAATCCTTATCAGATGCCCGAACCACCTCAGCTGGCTCCTTTCGATGTGGAGGAGCAGTGACTCTACTATGAGCCCCTCCCAGATGGCTGAACTCCTCACCCTATCTTTAAGGGAGCCACCCTTTGGAGGAAGGCGGAAATGGGCTGACGTCATTGTCACTAATGCCTGCTGTGGGGGGTGTTTCTGCTGCTCTCTATCTGTGGCTGCCCATGTATGCAGGCGGTATGGCAGGCTGTCCCAGAAAACAGCAAAGGAAATAATGATGATAATCAGATGGAAATAATCTCCATTTGACTTCAGTGATTCTGAATGAAGTTAACTAAACATGTAATACAGTGGTGTAAAAAAACGTTTACCCCTTCCTGATTTTTTTGTATGCTTGTCACACTTCAATGTTTCAGATCATTAAACAAATTTAGATATTACACAAAGATGACGCACGTTAACACAAAATGCAGTTTCTAAATGAAGGTGTTTATTGTTAAGGGGAAAGAAATCCAAACCTTCATGGCCCAGTGTAGAAAAGTGATTGTCCCCTCCTGTCATAACATAAATAAACTGTGGTGTATCACATCTTTGGAAAGCGGAGTTCAATTTCTCAAGCCACACAAAGGACTGATTACTGCCACAACTATTCCCAATCAAGAAATGATTTAAATAGGACCTGCCTGACAAAGTGGAGTAAACCAAAAGATCCTTGAAAGCCTCAAAAGACATTGTGCCACAATCCAAGGAAATTCAGGAACAATGAGAAAGTAATTGAGATATGTCAGTCTGAAGAATGTTATAAAGCCACTTCTAAAGCTGTGGAACTCCAGCAAACAACATTGAGATCCGTTATCCACAAATAGGGAAAACATGGAACTGTAGTGAATCTTCCCGGGAATGACCAACTGACCAAAATTACCCTAAGAGCTCAGCAACGACTCATCCAAGAGGTCACGAAAGACTCCAGAACAACATCCAAAGAACTGCAAGCGTCACTTGCCTCAGTTAAGGTCAGTGTCAATGACTCCACCATAAGAAAGAGACTGGGAAAAAATGGCCTGTATGGCAGAGTTCCAAGATGAAAACCACTGCTGAGCAAAAGGAACATAAAGGCATAAAGGTCTCAGTTTTGCAAAAAAATATCTTGATGATCCCAAAGACTTTTGGGAAAATACTCTGTGGACTGACGAGACAAAAGCTGAAATTTTTGGATGGTGTGTGTGGAACATGGTGGTGGTAGTGTGAAGGTCTTGGGCTGTTTTGATGCCTCAGGACCTGGAAGGCTTGCTGTGGTAAACAGAACCATGAATTCTGCCAATCACCAAAACATATGAGAAAGAAAATGTTTGTGACTTCAAGCTGAGGCGCACTAGGGTTCTGCAGCAGGAGAATGATGCTGAAAACACCAGCAAGTCCACCTCTGAATAGCTTAAGGATATCAAATGAAGACTTTGGAGTGGCCTAGTCAAAGTCCTGACCTGAACCTGATTGAGATTATGTTGATTGACTTTAAAAAGGCGGTTCATGCCCAAAATCCCTGCAATTGTTTTAACTGAATTCCAACAATTGTGCAAAGATGAGTGGAATATAAATATTTATAAGAAGGGAAATTATATTAGTATTGAAAGTGTTGATGCATGCTCAATCATCCGGGTAAGGAAATAACAGAAAGTTGATTCTGTTCCTCTGTTCCTGCATTTTCAGTGGGATAAACATTTTAACACTCCTCCAAGTGTCTTCTTCAGTCTCAGCTGGCTGCAGGTTTCACTAACCTTATAAACAGTGCATTTGCATAATCACAGAAACTAGCACCACCAACAAACACATTTATCTTGTGATATGCAAATTGTCATCATGACCACTGGTCATGAGTAGGCTACTCTGCACAGAGAGTTGGGGAATGGCTGCAATCACAGCATTGTAAGACAGTGAAAGCCTTGTAAACCTTTGCCTATCACTGAGTTATCAGCTCACTTTCATCATCATTAACATGCAAGTTCATGGCTACTGATCAATTGCCATGCATACTTTTCACAGAAATGGGAAATGGTTGCAATCACAGGTGAAGTGTACTATAAACCAAAGTATTTAAGGTTAACTCTTAAACATTTAACTCTAATCATCCATTGGAGCGCAAATTAGGTGGCATCGGGTCACTGCAACAAAGAGTGAACACATAGACAGCAGGCAGAGAAGCTGAAGAACATCATATTAAAGAAACCCTGAATAAATGTGGTTATCCCAGATAGGCATTTATCAAAGGCGGGAAGATGCCTGAAGAATTCTCCAGGTGAGAGAAGAAGGACAGTCGCTGCATAAATGAAAAACACTGGTGATCCTTAATGTGTAACGAGTATAGGAACAGCAGGGACACAGTTTTTCTCTGTTACTCCAAAACATGCGAAACCAAACATTGGTCCACCCAAGGATCAAGTCCCTTAGGGACAAACAGAGCAATATTGTATCAAGTGCTGAAAGCACTCCAGTGATCACTGGGGCAAAACAAAAAAACAATGAAAGACAACGCCAAAGAGCTACCTTCTCAAACATGTACATCTACTGGGCAGTGGTCAGCTTTTTTCCTTTAGTACCTACTCTCCCTACTCACGTCAGCTCGGCACGGCTTGACATGGTTTTTTAGGGTTTTCCGTTAGGTGATAGTACTAGTGTTGGTCAAGTTACTTGAAAATAGTAATTAGTTACTAATTACTGATTGCTTCTCCAAGAAAGTAATCCTGTTACTTCACTCGTTACTTATTTTCAAAAGTAATTGGTGACTTTATTACTTAGTTACTATTTCAAAACATGATACACAACCTGAATACGTAATAAAGCAATAGACCTTTCAGCCCAGGTTTGCTCGGTGCCACAGTGGTCATGTCAGTGGGGGGATCTGGGGGTTTCTCTGTGAATTTCACATACCTGTGGCAGCGAGCTAGGTGTTTGCTCATATTTGAAGTTTAATTTTTCACAGTAGAAAGAGGTTTTCTTCCCACGCAGAGTGTACAGCGGACACTAATGTCTTTGTCACTTTTTACAGAATCAAGCTCAAAGTAATGTCAGGACTTCCAAGCTTTAAACGCTGCATGGTCGCACTCTCTCCTGCTCTCCACCTGCACTCCACCTGCACAGGGCAGGTGGACCCCTGCCTGGTCACTTGGATCTCAAACTACCTCACCGACAGACCACAGTACGTCAGGCTGAAGGACATCACGTCCGACACTGTGGTCAGGAGCACAGGAGACCCACAGGGAACTGTGGTGTCCCTAGGGATGGTGAGATGAAGCCTTGTGATGAACTGAAGCTTCTCTGTCTCTGTGTTGTGATCTACCATCATATATGCTGTGTGTTCTGTCTGCCAGTGTAAGTTATTTGGATTCTTAGTTTTGTTCTGTTTGAGTTCAGCATTAAAGCTGTTTGAGTTCACGTTTGTCTCTGGAGTCTGCACTTTGGGTCCTCTATTTCACCACTCCTGCCTGCACACAGCCTTCACACGACAACAAGTGCACCACACTGCTAAGTGTGTTTTGTGTTTAGAGATTTGGTAAATGGGAGACTGAGATTTGCAAATGGTGTCCTAACCAGATGAATAGTGTTTAAGATTTTGGCAACTGTGGGATTGATTTGATGAAAGCGTTTTCATAGTTGACAGTTTAGTTTTTACAATGGGGTTTAGTGTTTTAACAGTTCAGAAAAACTGCAATACACCTGTGCTTTTCCCAGCAACTGAGGCCTTTACCCTGCACAGTTATGATAAAGCACTGACCTTATAAATCCTGACCGCCAGATGGCACAAAATCCACATTTTAGCTGGGAGCTGGACACTCACAGGGGAAAGGCCCCATTCAACAACAACAACATCAACAACAACAACAATAATAATAATAAATTATTATTAGTCAGGCAAATATATCATATATCAAACATGCTTCCAAACTAATGAAATTTTTTGCATTCTTCACATCAGGTCAAAATGTACTGTAAAATGTAACTTTTTTTAAGTCACTGGCACTGCGGAAACGGATCTACAGCACCACTTAAGAAACTTTAATGAACTTCTAACAGCTTATTTACAGCTTGAAATACGTGTATGACATTTATTACACACAGATTCAGTGAACCCAATCCAAAGAGGAAGTCTGGAAGTCTGTCATTTTGAATGTAAAATGACATTTTGGCACAGTTTTAGTGTTTTCCAGGCATCGCTGGTTTACACATTCGCCTGCAAAGTGAGAGGTCACTGGTTAAATTCCATTTGGTTACTTCAGGAACTTGTTGGGGTTACTTCAGAAAGGGACATCTTCGTCAAAGCCATGTTTGTGGTGGAATTTTGATCATTTACTACTGGACATTAGATTTTCATCTCTAAAAGTGTACTTTGTCCAGTCTGTCCCAAACTTCACACGTTTGATGACAGTCTGGCTACGACTACATGCCAACATCTGGTCACACATGGTGCCACAGTTCTCATATAACATTTTAATCAAGACTACCCCACTGTGATTGAAGTATTTCTTGCAAAACAATCATAACCAAACAAAACCTTTCCTGTACTGTAAATGAACAGTAGGACAAAAAGATTACTAGTCATTGCGGAAAGCACAATGTTTACATCGTTGGAACGAGGAAAAATTCCCCCACCACAAAAACAGAAATACTCATGAAAGCAACCTGTAGTGCAAACACGAGGGCTGAATTTATTACTTCCTGCACTAGAAACCTGCCGATGTTACTGATATGAATAGATCACCAGTCTTCCTGGTCTTTATCTTATTATTTCCTGTTGAGATGTTGCAGCAGAAAATACAGCCTGCCCTGTTGAAACATTATTTTTTTTCAGTGTTTCAACTGAAAAAATAGAATGCTTTTGATCCAAAATAGAATGCCTTTGATCCTTTGTTATGTCATCATCTTGCTGAGAGA